CCCCCCCCCCCCCCCCCGGGCTGCGTTTCAGCGGGGCGGGCAATCGATAGCGGCAGTCAGCTGGAGTCAACTGCAGTTTTTTACCAAATCTATATAATAGCGAGGGAAAGTGTCCCGAAGGTCACCCTCCCTGCCAAGAAACACCCCTCGCTGAAAAAAAAAATCGGCACGAACGACAGGCGCGATATAAACTACAACTTTTAAAGCCTCGCATCAAACACACCCGAAAGCGAGGATTTATATAGATCCCCCCCCACCCCCTACCAAAATGAAGAATTTTTTTTTTTTTTTAAACGTGCAGATAAAAATCATTATTCGCTCTACTGCATATTTGGCTAATCCCCTCAGTTTTTCCAAACGTAAAGAAAAACTCCCCTATGCCAATCAAAACGTAACTGGAGCACGAACAAAAATCCAACTATCCGTCCACATTTATATGTTTAAAGGATTAGACAATTACAAGGGATTGGTTAAGCGGTTGAATAAAGAGAGGCAGAAATACAGCCCGGGCTGCGCTGGATTAGCCCAAATTTTCGAGCCATCGCAACGAATTCTTTCAAAACTGCACCGAGCCATTTTGCCCATGACTGAAGTCGATCCCGAGGAACGCGATCCCCGGCTGCCTCTGGGTTCCCACCGCCCGGCAGAGCGGCAGCCGACCTCAGCCGGGGGAGGTGGGATGTGGTGGGGCGAGAAACGAGCTCGCCATAACCAGACACACTCGGTTTCAACTTAAAGGGCTTCCAACAGCCACCGCCGCCGCTTCACCAGACGGGGATACACACACACACAGGCAGAGCACGAAAAAAAAAAAAAAAATCACCTCCTTTCGCATGCAAAAGCGCAATATTAACACGACCGCCTGAAAATGCAGTTTCGTGACATTATCGCGGCAGCCCCCCGAGCTCCCCGCCTTTCATCTAAAACTAGATTATGATTGTGTCATTTGAGGTCAATACATTTATTCGCTGGAGGAATCGCTACGCGAATCTGGTTTTATAACCAAACTGGATAGAAGGTTTCCCCGTCAAAAGGGGCCTCCGAAACTCCCCCACCACGCCACAGAAAAATAAAATTCGGTATCGCGTTTGTTTCGAAAGCCTTATAGCTGCAGGATTAGCTATAAACTTGACATTCACTGCCATTTCCTAAAACTGGGAGTCAAATGATAGACGTTATGACCACTTACGTATTTCTTTTGAATTATATTCCTCTTGGGTCTTTCTTTGCTCATTCTGGTATCCAAATTCTGATTGCAAAAGGGGACAATTGCTTCATGAATTAAAGCCGCGACAATTTAAAAAAAAAAAAAAATACCGAAAAAATCCTGGGGGGAGGGGGTTGTTTGTAGTGGTATCTTGTAATCCGACTTTCTTTCCTCACAATGTGATTCTCCTAGCAATAAATCCGAGAGAAATGGGGGACGAAAAAAAAAAAAAAAAAGACGAATGCGAAGGAAACAAACAAAAAAAATCACTTTAGTGAAACATTATAATGGAAAATTTCCCCCTAAACACAAAAAACGACGCCCTTGATATCCCCTTTTTCTCAAGCCACCTAAGCGATCTGCAGGTCCTTAGTGTCAGAGCTGTAGTTACATCTTGGAGGAGGAAAGGGGCCGAAAGGAGAAGATAAATAATCAAAACGTTGGAAGTCACGTTTGTGCCGCTGCAGCAGGGAAAGCGGCAGAGACAACTCCAGCAGCGGCGGCTCCGGCTCCGGCTCCGGCTCCGGCGGCGGCTCCGGCGGCAGCAGCGGCGGCGGCGGCGGCAGCGAGGGCTGCACGCACCGTGTGTGTCTCCGCTCCTCCAGCTCCCCCCTAACCAATGAGAACAGCTCTCCGGCAGCAACTTTAAATGGACCTGGCTCTTTTTTTTTTTTTTTTTTAAATATATATGTCTGCGTGTGTGTGTGCGCGCGTGTGTGTATATATATATATACACACGGGCACACGCACACACACACACATACATACACCGCTTAAGGGCCTGGCCTTAACTCCCAACCGGGACGGGAGACGTAACGCCCGGCCCCCGCTGCGTTCAACGCATGCAACAGGCCTCGCTAAACACTTCATGCGGGTCAAGCGTCACACGCTGCCCTTCTCTCCCCCCACCACCCCTCCTCCCACCTCTTTTTTTTTGGCATTTAAGCGCGGCCACCCGGCAGCCAAGGTCGCCGCTAGCCCTGCGCCACAACCCGAGCGGGGAGTTTGGCGACGGTCCCTCACCGCGCAGCACGCTCAGTCGCCCTGCCCTGCCCTGCCCCCCC